CCTGCGGGTACCTATAGATGATGCATACGGAGGGACGGAGCGCGCAGAGGCCGTTCCTCGGTCCCCACGGGTGTGCGTGCCCCTTTCCCACGTCGGTGCTTTTGCCCCGGTTTCGTACTCCGAACCCTGCCCTGTCGCCGCCCTCACACCTCCCTCGCCCGCCTTCCCGCCTCTCCTGCTTTTTCCCTGCCCTTCGCCCGGGTTTTGTCCAGCCTCCCCCGCGCAGTGTGCACAGTAGCACCCCAGCCTTGTTCCGCGCTCCCCCCGCATCGCTTGCCTTAATTGCCTTAATTGTCCTTCCCTACAAGATGGACGCCTGCGCTGAAGCTCCACGCGCCTGGTCTTCTCTACCTCAAAGCTTTTGCTTTGCTTCCCTCTGTACCCGAACAGTCAAAGAGCATCAGATCCTGATTCGTTTTTGCTTTGTACCCCCTCCTCATCTCCACTCCGATAATTCCTTGCTAGTTCTCACAACAAAAAAGAAGGTCTTCGGAGCGCATCCATCCCTTGCTGAATTTCCCTCAGGTAGCGACGCCAACGTCGGCTCCAAAGTTTGCTGGGCTTAGGGTATGGTTTAGGCTGCACGAGGTCTCGCCTACGGAAACTCCTCAGGAACCTTGAACCTGGGTTTGACCCATGTCAGAGCCAAAAGAAAAAGATGCTACAACGCATCTGTGACGCAGACCCTCCCACGGCTGCAAAGCGGCTAAGGCTTAGCTAGCCTAGAGACTGATAATGAACCAGGGAGCTCTTCTGAAATTCAAAATGCTTTCAGAGCATTCAGAGGTATTTCCACCCACACAGGCATCGCTGCTCCCAATTCAATCACTTAGACCATTTTCTAAATCCTGGATGGAAGTTATTATTACAGTTCTCCTCGTTGTGTCCCGCTGTACACGTAAAAAATGAAAAAATAATTTTTGTGCCACAGTTTTCAATCTTCCACTCTATGTTAATTTCATTATTTTAAGATTATGTTACCTTGTGTCCTTTTACGTTTTCAGGGTATGTGAAAATTTCTAAGAGGATGCTCATTTGAATGAATTTTGAGAGGAAGTCTTACTATGCTAAGTCAAATACGTTATTAAAATTCAGACACTGACACGCACTTGAGACATCAAATTTATTGTCAGTGAAGTTGTTAATTAATTTTTCTTCTTTAAGTTAATTTCAGAGTTTTATTGAAAAGCCCGTTCAACAAAAAACTACAGTTTACAAGCTGCGGAAATGTACTGTGCTTTATTCCATTCCTTTGTAGAAAATTGGCAATGTTTCCTTCCTTTTTAAAAATTATTTTAATAATAAGAAAATGTAAGAATTATAGAGTAGTCTCATTTTTCCTTTCCTTGGTGACATTTGGTAATACATCTCCTTTGCTTCAGTATTCAGTCTCTTTTCAAAAATTATTTTGGAAGAAATTAATCCACCAGTTTGGGTAATAAAAAATTGTAACTGTTGCATGTGGAGGCTAATTTCTGCATCTCTACATTTTCTGAATACTTCCTATCAAGTAGTTGTAAATAACTATTTTATAAAATTTAGAACAGTACAGAGTCGCAGACAGGCTGAGGTTGGCAGGCACCTCTGGAGGTCATCTTGTCCAACCCCCCATGTCCAAGCAGGGCCACCTATGGCTGGTTGCCCAGGCCCATGTCCAGGTGGCTTTTGAATATCTCCAAGGATGGAGACTCCACAACCTCCCTGGGCAACCTGTGCCAATGCTCGGTCACCCTCACAGTAAAACCAGAAGTGTTTCCTGATGTTCAGAGAGAACCTCCTGTGTTTCCGTCTGTGCCCACTGCCTCCAGTCCCGTCACTGGGCACCAGTGAGCAGAGCCGGGCTCTCTGCACCCTCCCTTCAGGTATTTATACACATTTATAAGATCCCCTGAGCCTTCTCTTCTCAACAGTCCCAGCTCTCTCAGCCTTTCCTCCTAGGAGAGATGCTCCAGTCCCTTCATCGTCTTTGTGACCATTCGTTGCACCCTCTCCAGTATGTCCAGGTCCAGAGCCCAGCACTGGACACAGTACTCCAGGTATGGCCTCACCAGTGCGGAGGAGTTACCTGCTGGCAGCACTCCTAATGGAGCCCAAGATACCGTTAGTCTTCTTTGCAGCAAGGGCACACTGTTAGCTCGTGTTCAACTTGGTGTCCACCAGGACCCTCGGGTCCTTTTCTGCAAAGCTGCTTTCCAAATGGGTGGCCCCCAGCACGTACTGGTGTCTGAGGTTGTTCCTCCCCAGGTGCAGGACTTCGCACTTCTTATTAAACTTCATGAGGTTCCTGTCAGCCCATTTCTCCAGCCTTTCAAGGTCTTTCTGGGTGGCAACACGACCCTCTGGCCTATCAGCCACTCTGCCTGGTTTTATGTCATCAGCAAACTTGCTGAGGGAACACTCTGCCCTGTCATCCAGATCATTAATTAGGATGTCAGACAGGGCTGGACCCAGTATTGACCTCTGAGGTAGAGCACTAGTTACTGCCCTCCATTTAGACTTCATGCCACTGATCACCACCCTCTGGGTCCAGCTGTTCAGCCAGTTTTCAATCTACCTCACTGCTCATCCAGCCTGTACATCAAGAGCTTCTCTGTGAGGATCTTATGGGAGACAGTGTTGAAAGCCTTACTAAAGGCCAGGTAGACAATATCCACTGTTTTGCCCTTGTCTACCAAGCTAGTCATTTCATCATGGAAGTTTATCAGGTTGGTCAACCATGATTTCCCCTTTGTGAATCCATGCTGGCTACTCCCAGTCACCTTCTTGTCCTTCATATGTCTGGAAATGGTTTCCAGGATTAGTTGCGCCATCTTTCCCACGGATCAAGGTGAGGCTGACTGGCCTGTAGTTCCCTGGGTCCTTCTTCCTGCCCTTATTGAAGATTGGAGTGACATTTGCCTTCCTCCAAGTCCTCAGGCACTTCTCCCAGTCGCCATGATCAATCAAAGAGTATCAAGAGTGGCCTTGCAATGACATCTGCCAGCTCCCTCAGCACTTGTGGGTGCATCCCATCAGGGCCCATGGACTTACGCATGTCCAGTTTGCCTAAGTATTCCCTGACCTGATCGTCTTCCACCAAGGCTATATCATTCTTGCTCCCGCCTTTCCCTCTGGTCTCTGGGACCTGGGATTCCTGAAGGCCAGTCTGGCTAGTAAAGACTGAGGCCAAGGTGGATTCCGTACCTCAGCCTTTTCCAGGTCCTGTGTTACCAGGTCCGTGGTCTCATTCAGCAGTGGGACCACATTTTCCCTAGTCTTCCTTTTGTCACCCATGTACCTGTAGAAGCCCTCCTTGTTGCCTTTGACATCCCTCACCAGATTCAATTCCTTCTGGGCTTTGGCTTTCCTAACCTCATCCCTGCATGCTTGGACAGTGTCTTTGTATTCCTCCCAAGTTACACATCCTTGCTTCCACGCCTCGTGTACTTCCTTTTCAAGTTTGAGTGGGCTTTCCTATTTGTGGGCCAGGAGCCCCTAGTTCATCTAGTGTTTTTGCCTGACTTCCTGCTCACCAGGATGGACAACTCTTGAGCTTAGAGGAGATGATTGCTGAGTATCAACCAGCTTTCTTGGGCCATCTTCCCTCCAGAGCCTTATCCCATGGGACTCTTCTGAGCAAATCTTTGAAGAGGCCAAAGTCTGGTCTCTCTCCAGGGTTGTGAGCTTGCATTCTGACCTGCTCCCTTCTCTCAGGATCTCCACCATCTCATAGTCATTGCAGCAAAGGCTGCCTTCAACCTTCACATCCCCAATGAGCCCTTCCTTGTCCGTGGGTATCCAGTCCAGCAGAGCTTCTGTCCTTGTTGGCTCCTCCGTCACTTGGGCCAGGAAGTTCTCATCGGTGCTCTCCAGGACTAAAGTCCTCCATGAGGACAGGGCCTGGGAACGTGAGGCTGCTCCTGTCTGTCTGTACAGGGCCTCGTCTGCTTGTTCTTCCTGATCAGGTAGCCTATAGCAGACACCCATTACAATGTCACCCATACTGGTCTGCTCTTTAATCCTTGTGTTGCTCGCATCCTTGTGTTGGCTCATCATCCATCCCCAGGCAGAGCTCCAGGCATTCCAGCTGCTCTCTCACATAATGGGCAACTCCAGGTCTTCCCAGCCTGTCCTTCCTAAAGAGCCTGTATCCCTCCTTTGCAACACTCCAGTCATGGGAGCCATCCCAACACATCTCCGTGATCCCTGTGGGACCGTAGCCCTGCAACTGCACACACATCTCTAACTCGTCATGTTTATTCCCCGAGCTGCGTGCATCGGTGCACGGGCACTTCAGAGAGGTACCCCAGCATGCTCGTTTCCCCAAAAAGGGTCTGGGGTTTTACTCCGTAATGTTGCCTTGCCAGCACTTCCTTGCTTACATGCAAATGCTTGAGTTTGGCTTAAGCCTTGATTTTGTGTTCCCTTTTGTTAACATCTCCCCAGCCCCTTTGCTGGTCAGCCCTGTCTGTCACTCTCTCACAGGGCTGCTGGTGACTCTCCTTCCTGCATCGTTCCTAGTTTAAAGCCGTTCTTACCAGGTCAGCCATCCTGCTGGCAAGGATGCCTCCGTCATGCTTAGTGAGGTGGATACCATTTCTCCCAAGCAGATGTTGATCCTCAAACAAGGTCCCATAGTCATAGGAACCAAAACCACTGACACCAGCTCCTCAACCAGCTGACACACAGTTCTCTCCTCTTCCTCCTCGCATCCTTTCCTCTCACCAGCAGGGCTGAGAACACACTCATACCCCCATGCCCTGACTGTCACCCCCAGAAGGAACACTGGTTGCAGAAGATGTGGAGTTTTTTATAGTGTCTAAAAATTTCTAGGAATTTCTAAAAATTATTTTCATGCCTCTCTTTCCTAATTAGTAGATCCATAGCACACCAGCAACACCCTTCTGACATTGCAGGTGGTGAAAATATCAATCTAACACACTGTTTAGGTTGCTCATAACTTGGCCAAACTGCGATAGCTTGGACTGAAATTTGTGCTTCTCAGTACAAAGTTCAGCAAAACTCAGTCCTGACAATGAGATGAGGGAAAAATACTTTGTTTTCCCTCATTCAAATTTGTTTTAGGACTTGGCTTTATAAGTTACAGTGACTCCGTGCTTTTGAATGAAAAGTTGAAATTTAGCTGTGATAGAGGTACAGGGTTTACAGTTCCTGCCGCCCAAGTTGCGACAAACGCAAGAAGCAGAGGACGGCTGGGGAGCATGGGCTCTGCCGAATGCAAGACCAGGGACTGAAACATCCAGGGTGAAGACACTTGTCGGAAGGGGATGAAATACTGGCAGCAGAAGCCAAGAGAAAACAGTGGTCGAGAGAGAGCAGAAAGGCCTGGCGCCGGGTGCTTCGTACCCCTCTGATTTGTACTTCATGGGCTTTGCCGCCTGCTGCTCCGGCTTTCCAAGTGGAAGGCATCCGAGCCAGAGCTGCTGCTCGCTCGGGTCCGTCCAAGTGGCTCTGTGGGACAACAGCGCTGTTCCCTGGCCTGGCGTTTATTGCTGTTTTACTTTGGGAAGGCAACTGAAACCCATTCGGCAAAAGTCAGTAAAGCTGCAAAGTTAGGCAAGGAAAAGTTAAGAAATACTAGGAATGAGGTTATTTGTAAGCTTGAAGTCAGCCCCCTTAAGTGTAGGGGTAATTATACATTTCTTAATTAGATGATCACATATTCTTCCTCCCACAGGATCCTGCCTTTTTCCAGCAAATGAGCTGTTTTTCAATAGTCCCTTTCATCCTCCTCTCTCGATGTGCAGCTCAAGCTATTATTTAATGCGTATTATATAACCCTCAGACTAGATGCAGAATTATTCATTCCCTTCTTTCTTTGGGATCCTGTGGGGCTTTTACTGTTATGTGCCCATGGATCACAAGCATTAATGAATGTATTTTATCCAGCATCATGTGCAAACAGCTAGGATTATCTTCTCCATTCTGGGGATGGGGAACAGAGGCAAAAAAGAGATTAATGCTACTGTTTTCAATTATCTGCTGATTCTGGGTACTAGCTGCCTTGAACATACATGCGTTTCTTTTCCAGGGAACTCGCTGTTTTTACAAGTTGGGTGCGACATGAGATGCCTGCGTGAGGCTTGGACGTGTGGCATAGGAGCATGGGAGATATTTTCTGGGGCTATTTTATGCCCCTAGCTTCAGGGGAGGTTGCTCCTGCAGATCGCGAGTGAGAGGAGACGTCTCGCTGCGGTGCCAGGCTGGCAGCCTGGCCTCCTTGGGGGGATAGGGTTTGAACCCCACTTCTTATCTCGCTGCTTCCCACTGGTGAGCGTAGGTCGTCGTTCATCATGTCCTGTGAATTTCTCTCCTACCGTGACTAATCCCTCCCATGCTCTGTGTGGGCATCCCAGGCACCCACCTCCGACTTCTGAATCCGCCAGGTACCTGCATGAGGTTGCGCAGCTCCTAAAAATGAAATACTTTGTGATTTTTATAATGAGTATCACATTTATTCGCGGACTCCCTTTTACAGTCCTAGCCTCTGGAGTCCTGTGATAACCTGAAAATTTGTGCTTTTGTTTCTTTGTGCAGAACCCATTTACTCCATGCTGGCTGCAGAAAGGGTCTTGAAATGTGCCATTTAAGGCTTAGATACTGAAAGACAGATCAGAAGAGCTAAAATTCATCATTGTTCTAAAAATTGCATGATTTTAAATCAACCCCAGCAAATTTTGACTGCTGGGAATTGGCAAGAGTATGCCATAAGAATTCTGGATTAGGTAGGTAGAGTGTATTTGATGATTTATGGATATGAATAGCATTTTGTACTTACAAAGTAGCTCTTTAGGGGCCTCAGGCTCTACTGAGAAATCTGAGGGGAAAACAGCATTTCTGAAGATTTTACACGGTGGATGACGATGTGCAAGGTGGCTGCATTCGCTTGTCCGTAACAGGACACACTGATCCAATAGGCTAGTTCTAGTTCAAAGAGCAGATGGAGCTAATAGGTTTTGTAATTAGAAAATGTGGTATTCACCGAAGTGGAAACATTTTTCAGATACAAATCAATTTCTGTAGTTGTATTTCTTAGAAAAAATTGAGATAACACCTTTCAGTAAAGTGGCAACATTCTGTTTCAACACTTGCAGAAACTAACATTTCAATATAGCATTTCCAAATGATTTCGTGTACTGAAATTATTTTATGTAATAAAAAATAACGTTGGGGTTTTTTTACAGTAAACAGTGTATTTCTGGGGATGTGTTTTATAAAATACAGACATCTATAAATACTTCTTTTCCCTCCAATTTTGGAAGGGAGAGACACTTAAAGCTGCAGAATTTTCTTTAAAATGGAAAACCCTGGTCTTCCCAGGTCTAGCTTGCCAAGTAAGAGACTTATTTGGCCTTAACCCTGAATTTAAGCCAGAAATTCTTCAAATTCTAAGTGGTCCTTTAGCGTGTTCTTATAAAAATCCTGGTGTAATTGGGACCTTATCTTTGCTGCAGCCTGTGCCTGTGCTGACATTGTCATAAAATCAATAATACAATGATCTACCTACCGTAGGCAAGTCATTTAAACTCTCTACTTACCTTCCTTATTGAAAAATTAATTATTTATTTACAAAAGCAAGTTTAAAAAGTCAGAAAATAGTAAACTAAAAAATGTAGCACTTGATCCACCGAGTCAGTGGAAAAATGTGCTTGGGATTAAGCCCTAAGTGTATGGTTGGATCTAAAATGTAGAGGATTGATTGATCTTAATTACTTTTACATTACGTTTTATATCATCAACAGCTACTTCTCAAGTAAAACCTTTTATATTGGACTGAAGGCAGTTCTACAAAATCCAGCAAGTTGGGGGTTTTTTTTTGGAAGGCTTTTATTAAGAAAAAACAACTTACACTGACTTTAACAGAAAGTATTGATAGTCTTGTAAATCCTTTAATCTAGAAGGAATCAAAACAGTTTATAGATTAAATACCTGCAGAGTACAGCAGTCAAATGCAAAATGCTGCTCCACCAACCTGTGTCCAGAATATTTCAGAGTAATGACATAAGAGAATATCTTTCCCATTAAAGCTGTGGAAGGTTGTCTTGGAGAATATAAAAAAGTTACTGTGATAGGAAAGTAACGAAGGCTCCAGAAGTCATTGTCCCTTGATCTTCCTGTTATCCTGCAAGCATCTCCCAGCCTACTCTGAGAAATGTAATGTTGAACCTGGGAAAAAAAATTTCCAGTGGACAATTTATGAGAGAATGCTGTGAATTGAGATGATATTCATTAATAATTTAGGCAAAATAAAGTTAACAAAATACTTCAAAATT